AAATACCGCCGAATCGCGTCATTGGCAAGCAAAACATTTGGACAATTGTCGCGAATAATCACCAAGACACACCTATGACGGACATCGATTGGAATGAAATGGAGGGACTCTTCTGTCTGCAGTCCACCAGCGCACAAGGTTCGCCAAAATTGGGACGTGAGAGCAGCAGTAGCTCTGGCTATGATACGCTCGATCGGAAATCGAAGAAGGAAAGTACGGAAATAACGCTGTTGGATGGTAAACGCAGCCTGAACGTAAACATCTTTCTTAAGCAATTTCGAAGGTAAGACTTGTGTCTATAATATCACTGCAATGCATTTACTGGACGGTCAAAATTTATGTGAAAAATTTTTTCCGCTTCGAGTCGTTCATTTGCGTTTCATTCAGTTAACATATTTCTGACGCTTCTTTTAACCCAAGTCCTTAAAATAATGTTAATATTTTCAACCTAGTGACTGTGTTATTACGATTTTTCTGTATTCTCTCTTTTTCACTCACTTGCTTTCAGTTCTAATGAGGATATCATACAATTAATAAGAGATGGCGATCACGATGACATCGGCGCTGAGAAGCTGCGTGGTTTATTGAAAATACTTCCCGAAGTCGATGAATTAGATATGTTGAAAACTTTTAATGGCGACAAAAACCGTTTGGGTAATGCGGAAAAGTTTTTACTGCAGCTTTTGGAAGTTCCAAAGTGAGTATGGATATTAATTAATACGAAAGTAAATACATAAATAAAATCATGAACCCTTCCACTTGAATTTCAGTTACAAGCTACGTATCGAAAGTATGCTGCTGAAGGAGGAATTCGCTGCGAATATCAGCTACCTGGATCCATGCATCAACGCAATGATTTATGCTGGTGGAGGTAGGTCATAAGTACATATTTTATATGAAATGTCTTTATTTAAAGCTTTTTTTGATTTCATTTATTGTAAAAGTTAATTAGTATAAATACATATGTATAATATATGGATCCATCCATGCCTAATCGACCAAACGCACTATGGGCCAAATATGTGGCGAGCTTAGCTCAGTGGGTAGACCACGAGCTTTTAAATCCGAACTCGCTGGTTCATATCCCGGTGACCGCGGTTGAAGAAGTCTGATGAGGAGATGTGGTGATCTCCGAAATAGAAGCTATAACTTCTACCTACCATGTCTGTACATACAATATAGATATTAAAGAAAAATTAATATGGAGGTTCCTCTTTAGAGCAACAGAAGCCAAATCAACAATTTTTAGAATTTGTGAATGTCTGTCTCTCTGTCTCTCTGTATGTTTGTACGCGCATCACTCGAAAACTAATGCATAAATTCGAATTCAGTTTTCACCGATTGCATTGATAAAGGCCAAGCTTAAATTATAAGTTGCGTTCCAGATGCTTCACGATATTCACGAAATTCACGATTTGCAGGAACAGCTGTTTTCTCCATTAATAAACCTTATGGGAGGCGGGCACCTGGAACGACTTCCTGTAAAAACCTGCAAATCGTGAAGCATCTGGAACGCAACTGTAAAAAGCAAGAAATTAGAGAGTTGCCACCTGTTTGGAAATTACAGTTTAAATATTTGCTAGTTGTTGAATAGTTATACAGTTTTTAGCGAATTACGAATCTGAAGTCAGATTTTAAAAATTCAAACTGACGAATCCAATATGGCGGATAACTTAAAAAAATTTTTTTTTGTTAATCTTTCTATTGAGAGGTTTATGGGGAGCCGATTACGAATCTGAAGTCAGATTTGGATTATTCAAAATAGCGAGTCAAATATGGCGGATGATAATTATGAAAAAATTTTACCAGTTTATTCATAAATTCTAAAACTAGAGACCTAGCTCCTGAATTTGTTTAAATTATCAATAAGTGCAGTAACAAAATATGCTGATAATTTTTTTTTAACACATTTGAATAATAAAAACTACATTATCGCCACTGCTGTGTGTTCGTCTATAAACATGTACGATACATAGCGTATGAGTAACCTTTCTTTCTGGTCTTATCTATACATAGTATGTAGTGTAAAGTAGAGATGCCGTTTTTAAATCGATTAATCGAGCCCTTTCGATTAATCCATTAATCAATTTTAGACACTTTAATGAAGATTTTAAAACAATTTAACAGAAAAAGCACCACTTAAAAATTTTCAATGGAATTCATAATGCAAACGTAATTGTAAGTTTTTAGAAAGGTGGCAACCCCACCCCAAAACATTTTTTTATCGGTTTTTGTTTTTCTATAGAAATGGAAGTACGCTGTAAACCTTTTTAATAATTATAAATTTTCATATATCTGGCAACGCTGTTTTAATTTTTTTTTTCAAAAACTTTCTACGGAAAATACCAAGTAGAATGGAAGAAAATAGAATAAAGCCGTTAAGTTGTTAATACGTTTAAAGCTGTTAAAACTTCAAAAAATTCAAAATATGTGCTTTCTCGGATATTTTATAATTTTTGGACACCTGGTATTTTTCGAAATACAAATATTATTTTCTGATTTTTTTCACGTTTAAATGGCCCAGCAAAAATTTTGGCCACTTTTTCTGTCTTCTGACCCATTGTGCTTATTGTCGCACTTCGGCAGAATATTAGCTTTATTTCTCGGTATTGATCACTCTCCAACCATGCGCAAGTATGCCTAGGTTAAACACCATCAGCATCTCCATGATTTGTGCTGGACCTAAAAATTATTGTTTTCATT